ACCGTCTTCACCTGAAATCAGTCCAACCGGTGATACGCAGTCAGTTCCTTTGACTGCAAGCTCCAATGTGTTGCTGCCTCAGGCATTGACTTGTGTGTTCACAGAACCTACAAAACCTACAGCGGACTTGCGTCCATCTGGTTCGGTGACACGAGCAGTAAATACTCCTTGTCGCGGCGACTTGTTTACCGAATGTACCTTCATATTTATGGACGTATCTGAGCCCACTGCTACTCTCCCGACGGAGCGTACCAAGGAGGATCTCCAAATTTATAGACTTTGTATTTCTAAATTACTACCATCCGGGTTCCCCGGAGTAACAGAACACTCACAGAACTTGGCAGAGTACAAGTTGGCGAGGTGAAACCCCGTTCTCAACTTTTTCGTGTGGATCTTTCCTTTCTAGATGAGCGCCAGACACTCCTGCGCCTTGCTTTCAAACTCAAGGGTTCTGAGGTCATTATACAGCCTGACGTTCCTTTGGCTGACGGACTGAAACCCAAGGTGGTTATCAAAAACTTTAAATCGCGCCGTGGCGCTAGGATAAGAGTCTTCAGTTGGTGGGCTTGTGGGTGGTGAGCCAGCGGCCCGCTACTACCCTGCCAGAACCCGTTCTGATGGCACACGATCCCGGGCATACTATACAGATAACCTTCAGGTAGTTCTCAGTAACGTGCGTAGCTTACGAAACAAGATGTGCGAGGTCGGCGCTCTTGTGGACCACTCTCGACCTGAAGTTCTTGCATTTACCGAAACGTGGTTGTCATCCGACGTTATGGATATTGTGGTAAGCTTACTAGGCTACGCATTACTGAGAGCAGACAGCGCATTCGACTGTCGGGGTGGAGACGTAGCTCTTTATCTCAAATTTACCTTAGTTATTTCCTAAATGTGCTCGTTCCACTCAATAAATGGAACTACAGAAGCCCTGTCGGTTGAAGTGTGTGGCTCCAAACAGCTAACCATTGTGGTAATAAATAGGGCTCATTGACTTCCTTCCGCAAATCGATCACACCAGTTATCGTCCGAAACTGTCGCTCGATTTGGAGCACGTCCGGACACTGACCAAGCACTTGTATGTGCTGATCTGCGAGCGCGTTTTGGCGTTCGCCGTCAATGATCCTGTAAGCGCATAGTCACCAGCCAACCGGCGAAGCCATGTGTTCTGAATGCGCATCGACGTACGCTGGCGTTCGGGTTGAGCATACGCTCACTGAATCCAGTTGAAGGTCGCTGGTCGCATGTTCACCAGACCTTAGTTGAAGCAGGTAAATCATTATGTGGTCAATCCACTAGCTAAAATGGACATAGCGCCTGTTCACAGTCTCTGGAACTTATCGATGCTCGCCGGCACGTTCCGGCTGGAAGCGAACATAATGAGACTCGCAAAGACATCAGGGCAAAACTCCGTGCTACGCTGAAGAGACCGTGAAATGTGGTGGTCTCATCGTGTGTCGGAGATGGAAGTGGCCGCTGCCCTTGGTAACCATCGGAAGTTGTTCCGTCTGATACGGGATACGGGCAGCAGAAACCTGGTGTTAGTAAAATAAGACATGAGGAGAGTGAACAGCCTATCCACAACTTGTCAAAACGTTTGGAGCGTTGGGCTGAGCATTTTGAAAGGCAATTTTATCGACGAGAATTGTTATATCTCTCACCGGCCGGTGATCGTCCTGCTCTCTTTGCTGTCCCTTTGGATTCGCCCTCTCGCTCAGAAGTCGAACGTGCGATTGGACTGTTGAAGTTGAATAAAGCCGCAGGACCAGATGATATTCATCCAGCCCTCTTCAAATTCGGGGGCCCTTCTCTTTTTGATAATGTACACAAATTACTAGTGAAACTGGGAGCAGGAAACTGTCCCAACCGACTGGAGTCGCTCCGTTAGTTCCCTGCGATCAGAGCTAAGGTCACAACTTCACCTTGCGTCATTTTTGTCCAGGATGAATTGCAGACCGTTTGGATTACTTCAAGTTCTACCTGTTTGGGGTGTCTCTCCCTCATATCCCCACTTCTGTGAGGAAGGGTAAAAAGGCGAAGCCTCCATGTATTGATCCAGCTGCACGTCGATTGATGAACAGGCGGACCAAGTGCTGATGGACGTATCGATCGGCTCCATCAGAGAGCGCTTTCCGGCGCAGTCGAGTAGCACGGAATGCCTGCACACATCTGCGTGCCTCTCGACGATGCTATGAAATGGAGTTGGCCGACTAGACTTCGGAAAATCCATAGCGCTTCCTCGCTTTTTGCTCCAACGGCGATGCTGCTGAAACGGACCCCGCTGATGACTTCTTGCGCAGCAGTATGCGCGGGCATTTGTTACAGAATCTTGCTTGCCGCCCATTGATTTGAAGATTAGAGTTCCCTCTTACTCTCTATCGTCCGTTATTTCCGTTACAGAGATTCAGATGCTCGTACTACTACAGGTACTACAATCTTACCAAAGCGCTTTTGGTGGATGCTATTCACCCCAAGTTCTTGTATGAACTCGCAGCTAAGCTTTTTAAGCCGATCACGCGTTTGTTTAAGAAATCCACTCTCCAATGCTCTTTACCTTTTGACTGGAAGGAAGCGGTAGAACGTCCCACTTTCAAGAAGGGTGACATACACTTTCCTGCGAACTACAAACCGGTCAGTTTGACTAATGTGCAAGTCAAATTACTGGAGAAGGTAGTAAAAGATGTCCTGGAACCCCACTTGTGGACGTTCGACTTGCTCAATTCTTCTCAGCACGGTTTTCCTAAAGGCTACTCTTGTCTTGTTGTATGCTCGGAAATGCGTTGGATCGGGGCAAGGCGCTCAATGTGCTTTTCGTTGCCTTTGCGAAACCTTTCAACACCGTCCCTTATTCCCGCCTGTTGTGTAAGCTGCGGTCGTATCGTATCTCCAGGCAAGCGCTACAGTGGATGATGGCATTCCTAGTGGGTAGGAAGATGTGCGTTCCGGTGGGCTGGAGCCTCCCTTCTCGACAGTTGGTTCTAAGTGTTGTTCCGCATTAGTCTGTCCTTGATCCACTGTTGTTCATCTTGTATGTCAATAATTTGTCTGAGAAGCTGGGAGTGTCGTCCCTCGTATTTGCAGACGACTTTGATTTCCGGGACATGGTCAGTGCCCCGGGTGACTTTCAGATTCCACAGAGTGCGCCTGCTAGACTTTGGGATTTGTCCACTTTGTGGAAAATACCCACAAATCTTTCAGAGTGCTCAGTTTTGCGCCTTGGGGACAGTGGTCCGTTAACGCATTAATTTTTGGAGGACAACGAAGTACCTCGCGTAATCTAGCGAACTGACCTGGCACGTTGACATCGAATCTCAAGTGGAGCGCAACCTCGACAAATGCTACTTACAAAGGATTCATAATGCTGTGGATGATCTGCAGATCATTTAGTGAGATATTTGTTAAACTTTACACGGCTTTCATCAGACCCCACTTAGAGTACTGCGCCCGAACCTTCCCCTTTATTAGTGTGGGACAAGTTGGCGGTGGAGCGGGTTTTGAGGATTTGCACCAAGATGATGTGTGGGCTAAGATGTGTACCATATGTAAGCAACAAATTCGCTTGGGTCTTTAGTGACACGTAAAAACTCCCGGTCCAAGCAAGAAAGGAAGCCGAGTCGTTAACTACGGTACTATTCAAATAGGAATCGAAATGCGGTATGTGCATACCTCGACAATACCCGACCCATTTCTAAACAACCGGCCTTCACAATGTCCAAAAGGAATGCAAACGGTTCTTGCCACCATACATAAAGGGTCACAGAATACCGAGTCCACGACCAGACCCTGACCTTCCTTTTATTAGGTCTGTTAACCCTTGGGTCATTGGTTCGCTATACAGCGTATGACGACGGGCTGGGCTTTTGGGGTGACTTGGCTCAGTCAAACAGTGGGGGTGGGAGGAACATGGGCGGGAGGATGCCTCACATCTGAGGTGTGTGTGTGTGTTCTGGACGGGTTGCACAGTGTGAGAAAACGGTTTCCACAGTGAGAGTTGAAGTGAAGTCATGGCAACATCTATATGAGATTACATGGGGGATAATCGGTAAGCCGGCATTTATCAAATGGGGCAGTCGTCTGCTTTGGTCATCCAGACTGAGATCCCGACATGCAACTTGCTAACTACATAATAGTTATCTCGGTGGGCATGTAAACATGGCACATAAACTGCTTGAGCGGATAAGTGGCAGAAGTTAAGAATTAAATCATGTTATTCATCTTGTGCATTACCTGACACTTATGTCGGGTGGGCAAGCAACCATGGGGCATGGTGGATAAACAAATGGTTGGTGGGAATCCAGAGTTAGATTACGTCATCCATCTTGCGAATTGCGTGGTAAATTTACCGCTAACACAAAGTCCTGGGCGATTGTTTAATCTGGGTCCTTTTTCCGCACATTATCAGCGTCACGGGGGCGATCTGCCCTTTATCTGTCGCATCTTATCGGGTCAGATTGGTCCGGACTTATCTCAACTTTTCCTTCTGGCTCAATTGCCGACTCTTTGTGGGCATCCAAGGAAGCTTCACAAGCCTCGATCCGATCGGGTGGGGGCTGATGTCCGGTTATCGTGTAGGATAGTTTGCACTTGAAATGCCCTGCCTGAGGATGTAGTGTTGATACCGACAGTTAGGATGTTTGAACTCCGACTTGACGCCCTCAGTTTGCAGCTACAACTCTTTCCCTTCACATCTTAGACTGAATTACAATTTTCCATTTCTGTTTACTTGTCTTAATTTTCAGTGTTTACTTTACGTTTCTTACAGTTTCTTTTTCCTTTCCTTCCGTTTTGCTTTATTTCCACTTCACGTGTCCGGCACAGCGGGGACTGCTGGTGCAGGACACGCGGGCGTTGATTGGTTGACCGCAGTGTGACGCGCGTGCCGATTGTACACTCTCTGAAGATCAGTCCATCCGCCGAAATCCACCCCGGCTCAACGACACTTCCACATTGGAACATCCATGAAATTCTCCTATTATTCCTGTCCCAACTGAACTTGAAACTGCCTTTCGCTCATCTGTCAGTGTAATATCCTTTTTTAGCCGTTCTGTCATGAAGATTGGGCATTTGCATTATCGGCGTGGGGTTATCACTTATTCGATTTCTCCGTATGAGCAAAATGCCTATGCCGGGTTTCTTGATCGTGGTTTTCCCAACCTGCTTCGCCGTTTCCGATCAAAGGTCTGGACAGTAGCAACACGTACGCTTCATTTTTATCATCGTTTGTGCAGCATTCATCATTACTTTCTTAGTGATCGAATGGGCTAACAATGAAAACAGAAAACTTCACCGGAAGAATGCAGCTTAATTTGCCTTTTCGGAGTTCCAAGAATTCTTCCACTCTCCAAAGCTCTGTAGCATTATATCCAAAGTTATGCTAAATGAATCGTTTACACTCACGTGTCTCGCTTAAGATTCTTTCTCATCCTGTCTTGAAAGTGGTTGTTTTCTCTTCGAATTTTGTCCACTTCAATGCGTCAGGGAAGTAGATAAAAAGAGCAAAGATCCTGCTGCATTCATCGCCACTGTTGTAGTTCTTTGGGGAGAACTGTTACCCAGCGACTTATATCTTTCCTGCACTTAATGGAAAGCGATGGAGTTAAGAAACGTTTTTCATCTTGATTAACACAACAAAGGAACCGAAGACCGATATTCCTATACTAGGTTGACCGCTGGAGCGTCGTGAATAACCGTTTTTGTGCCCCTGCCCGTTCCAATGAAATACATAAAGACGAATCTCGGACACTTGGAAAAATATTTCCAGCACAGCATTAACTTATGCCCGTAACAGTCCGGACAAAACCCTAGTTTTCCCCTGTGCATTTCTAACAAAAATTACTATTTCGTTGCTCACTAAGGCAACCAGTGCTGATGGTTTAACTGGTTGTGGTGTCGAGCACCACCTTTATTTAACGTTCGTTTTGATTGCAACATATAACCGTTCATGTGCTGTGCTATTTTGAGGGTCGTGTTTTATAGCCAGGACAGGATCCAGAGACAAAACAAGTTTTCGCTTAACAAGCGTCCCGTTTCATGTGCCAGTAAGCGAACAGAGTTCTCAGCATTTCGACTTGATAGTAGATTCTTGCGTTTAGACTGGAGTGAGAGGAATATGAGCGAAACATCCATAACATTTTAACGAAGTAACTTAAGCTACTTGCGTTTGGTTACGGGCTGCTATGATTTCTCACCAGAATTCTGGGAACTGGGCCGACTAGTTTTCGTCCAGGTGTCGGTTTATATCCTCTACCGTCTTAGTTTCTAATGCAGAAGGGAGTTTTTTTCAGCTGAAGAACTTAGCTTTTATATCCCATCGCAACGAGACTAGACCTAAACGTGGTGCGACAGTTTGTGTACTTGACCCATCGAGCCATACCGGCCCCCTTGAGAGCTACTCCTACCAGTTTGGTCAATGGTGAGAGGTCAGACAAACTCAGTCTCCTGGTTCTCTAGGTTGGGAGTTTGAAATAAGATAGCGTCCATTTCTGTAAAACTAAATCGTTGCCACATCTACTGCCTTGCGGACAGGTTTTTGAGCCAAAGGCTTTAGATGAGGACCCTAATCGTCCTCCTGTCTTTGTCTGGGCTCCCTGGCAGTATCTCAGCTCACATACAACCATGACTTTTTCTTCAACCATAAACTGCATGCCCCATAGGCCGTCGCGCAGATTATCAAGGGTCGCCTTATCTGCTGCATGCAGCAGGGTGGATAAGCGAAAACATGCTACTGCTGGCGCCTCCCTTCTTTCTTTTCCACTTGTTTCCCTTACTCCCATCCTGACCCCCATTACTAACCTTCCTTCTATCATTCCTAGTTTAATTGACAGCAACCGAAGTGCCACTGGAGTAGAACCATCTGCAACCACCTTCTCACGACACCCACCGGACGCCTATCGGCAAAAGTCCCTTATAAGGCCACGCTGTCCAGTTTCCATGGCGACGTTCAACCTTCGCACTCTAAGACAAACAGGTCAACAGGCTGCACTCGCACGCACCTTGGACACACTGAGTATTGATGTGTGTTGTGTCCGAAACCAGAACCAATGACCCTCCCTGGGTTGTTTATCTAACTGTACCCGGCTTCTCTCGTTATTGGTTGCCCGCATTCGGAGACACCGATGCAGCACTCACGCGTCAAGCTGGTGTATTATCATTCTAAGCTCGAAGGCTTAGCCATCGTTGGTTGATTAGATTCCGGTGAACAGCCGTTTATGTGCAGCCCGTTTGACGACATCAGCTAAGGTTGATTCACGAACTAGTACAAAACGCTGTTTATTTGTGACTTCCGCTTATGCTCCCACTGACTGCAGTTCTAATGCTGTCAAGGACACATTCTATCACGAACTGAACGCGCTACTACGCAGTGCTACTAGTTCAGATATTATAGTACTTGAAGGAGATATGAACGCACAAGTAGGGCACTGAGCTTTTCAGAAGCTCAGCTGGGTGGTAATTATGGACTTAACTCCGAACGGACTGACAACGGTGAGCGTCTGCTGCAACCGTGTGCAGAGCACTAGTTGTTTTTTAGTAGCACTGCTTTCAAATACAGTGGGCGCCTAAGTGTCACTTGGCGCCCTCTTGTGGCTGGCCAGTGCTGGATCCAAATCGACCACATTGTCTTAAGTTACAGGTGGCGTGATTCCATCCTGGATTGCCGCTCGCACTGGACTACTTGCGTCTACTCTCATCATACCTTAGTATGCTGTCGTTTCTCCATGAACTTTACCGGGAGTCGCACCAAGCGTTTCCCACGATTGTTAACTGAGAAATTGTCTCAGTCCTTGGTCAGGCAAGCCTATCAAGACGCACTGCATACCGAACTGTCTTGTTCTAATGACACTGAACCTCAGTGGAATAGGATCTCGGCCGCCATGCACGACGCAGGAGCATCTGCTTGTGGTACTATCAATGGTCACCACACCAGTCACTGGACATCCGAGAGGTCGGTGTACTGTTGGAATCCAGAAGAAACCTCTCGGCTGGCTCTGAGCACACTGTGGTCAGACGAGCCATTAGACTGAAGCTTAATCGGAGCCTACGTACTGACATGGAAACATGTTGACCATTCAGACTCAAGAAACGGAGGAGGCAGGAGCAGTAGGCAATTACCGCAAGCTCTTCCAGCTGATCCGCACCACTAGTCCCAGGAAGCCAGGCGTCAGTGAGACAATCAGAGACAGCGCGGGTGCACTGATACACACTAAGGAGCGCCGTATGGCTCGTTGGGCGGAACACTTTCAAGCTCAGTTCAGCTGGCCTCCTGCTCCCGGACCTCTTCCTACTCAGGTGATGCAGGACGAGCCATGGACGGTTAGTTTAGAGCCTCCGTCGGAGACCCAGGTCCGAAACATGATGACAGTCCTTAATGGTTTTCGTGTTGCTGGCTCCACTTCGCTCCCATTCCTACTATTTATGGATGGAGGTGGATGCCCTCTGCAAAGCACTGACCTCTCTATTCGAACGTATCTAAAAGGGAGTGTCCCGGCTAATTGGAGCGGGTCGATTATAATGGTAATATACAAGAAGGGCAGTCGCACAGACTGTTATAACCATAGGAGTATTAACCTAGCGCCAGTTGTAACAAAGTTACTGGCCTCAACTCTCCTTCGTCGCTTCACTGTGGAACAGGAATCTCGGATTAGGGAAGAGCAGGCCGGTTTCCGCCCAGGACGTGGCTGTATAGACCATCTCTTCACTCTGCGTCAGGTGCCAGAGCAGCGCCACGCAGACCGGCAATAGCTGTGTTCCTCGGTTTCAAGAGTACGTTCGATTCAGTCGACGGATGCATTCTGTTTGAACTACTTGCGCGGAAAGGTGTTCCCACGAAATATGCGAACATTATACATGTTCTGTACTCGAACACTACAGGTCAAGTCAGGGTCTACGGTGACCTGTCGGATAGCTTTCGGCCACAGGTGGCGTTCGTCAGGGTTGTCCGATTTCCCCATTTTTGTTCACTTTCGTCGTGGATTCTATCATGGAGTGTTCCCTTGCGAAATCTCACGATGTAGGCCTTAAGGTCCTGCTTGGTGGAAGAGTAGTTGATCTTAATTATGCAGACGATATCGTCTTACTTTTCGACTGTGCTGAGACGGCACAATCAACCCTGAATAGCTTGTCTAGAGTGGTTCCATTATTTGGTATGCGCTTCGCATTTTCAAAGTACAAAGTGTTGCTGCAGGACCACCAGCCCCTTGATGACACCCTGATATTTGCTAACGAGGAACTCGAGGTGGCTGATCAGTTCACTTACCTTGGCAGCTGTCTCAGCAACAATGAGCGCATAGAAACTGATGTCAGCTCACGCATTGCTAAGGCCAGAGCTGCCTTCTTGAACCTGCGACATTTCTGGCGACAGAAGGAAATTTCCCTCCGTCTAAAAGGCCGTGTATACAAGGCTACAGTGAGAGCCGTCATGCTCTATGGTAGTGAGACGACCTCTTTGGTCTGAAGATCTGAGGCGTCTTCAAGTCTTTGATCATTGTTGTCTGCGAAGCATTGCTGGTGTCGGATGGCACCAGCGTGTCCGCAACGATGATGTGCGTAGGCGAGTACTAGGTAGTGATAAACATGCTAGCTCCCCAGAACAACAGATAGCATTGAATAAGCTGCGTTGGCTTACGCACCTGCCATGTATGCCTGGTCACCGTTTACCTAGGAGGGCCTTGTTTAGTCTGCCAGGTGTAGGGTGACGTAAGGCTCGAGGTGGACAGAAGTTGACTTGGCAGCGGGAAATGAAGTCACTGACGACCAAACTGGGTTCCGTTGGTCCGTCTCGCCTTCCGGGCTGAAGTCCACGTGACTCGCTTTGTGCTTGGTTTACAGGACATGGTTTGCAGTGGATACCAGTGGCGCTTCTGCTGCCGTCTTCTAATCGGATTGCCTGTTTAAAGTGTGTTTGGTACTGAGTTAACTGCGGTGTAATGGCTGATTATGACGCATGGCAGTGAAAACCGCAAGGAAGCTGTCTCGCTGATGTCACCTTGTCTTTGCACGATAGTTAGTTGTTTGTGACGGTATGTTGTCTACACAAGGTGTAGGCGCCATTGACCCTGGATGTATGCTTAAGTCATTAAGGTTTTCAGGTAAGTCCCCCTTCTCTTCCTCTTCTTATTCTTCATTTCATAGGTCCTCATGGTTGTATGGCAGTGAAGTATCAGTTCAAATGGCTGATGTACTGCTGTTGTTGATTGGTTGTTAATTGTTCTTATATCGAGCCTGGTTCTTTACTGTTTCCACTTTACACAGTAACCCCGCTAGCGGTCTTACGTAACTGGTTCAAAGAGACCAGTAGGCCTGAAACCGCGGAGACCCTTCATGGTTTTGAGTGTCTCTGTTAAGTCCTCTCACAATCTGCGTCTCCTCGTTTAGAGCATTTTTCTCGCAAAATTTGAACGCGGACCTATCACACACTTAATCGCATCCCTTGGTTATTGCAAGCGATACATGTATGATACGTTTATTGTTTGCGTCTCTCATACTGATCATGTTCACTTGTTGAATCAATTTAACAACGCGCAACTATCGTTGAAATTCACTTGCGAGATTGAAGCGAACAGTAAGCTGCCATTTTTTCGATGTTTTGCTGCAACGACGAGAGGATGGATCACTTGGAAGAAAGGTTTACCGCAAGCCAACCTGGGTAGGCCAGCACACGTACTTCCACAGTTTCCTACAGATAAACTACAAACGAATCTTGGTACGTTGCCTGTATTATCGGGCTACAAGTATTTGCAGCCCTGAGACACGAAGCGGAAAAAGAATTTCATACTCGAAACATTGGAAAGCAACGGGTATTCAATTGCTTTCATCAAAATGCATTCTTAGCTTTGAGCTGAGCCTAAGCCGAAAATGGCCGTGAGAATGAAGGATGTTTTCCTCTCATTGCCTTTCAAAGGTGACATACAGTTCGCAATCGCGCCGAAACCGTTCCGCTCGTCACTAACCGCCTGAAAGACAGAATTCCGGCCCGGTCCGAATCCTATATCCTATACCAGTTCACTTGCACCTGTGGTGCGATACACCTCGGACACACGACCAGACGTCTG